TTTGTTTCAAACATGCTTGGGGCATATGTTAGAGAGGGTGTTGGGGGTGGGAGCGATGGCGGGGGGTGGGGGTGGGTTTGGTGATCGGTCATGGGAGTGGACGTTCCCGTGATGGTGATCATCACTTTGGCGGATCGGTTGTCATAGGGGTGTTCCATGAACCTTTCGTTTTCTTGATTTTTTTTTTTGGGAACATGGCAAATCGATGTTCGCATCGGTTAAAGCGAACATATAATTGTGTTGATTGATATTGATCATGTCTACAGCTTGTTGCCGCTTTCTTTTTATTCTTGGCAAGGGCCCCGGGGATGGAAAGGGGTCAGGGCTGCTTGCTTGAACCGATGGATGATGACAAAGTGAGGAATGTTCATACACGGCATTGCAAATGCGAGAAGGAAAGAAGGCAATAGAAATTACACACACAACGTCGTGCAATTGTTTTCTTTTCATTCGTCGTCGAATAAGAAGACAACCCACGCAACATAAATAATTGACATGATATGTTGTTAGATTGTTGTCACTCGTTGTAAAAGCAGAAGACAACACACTTTGCAAAAAAAAGGCCTTCATGGCAACTTCATTCCCAACATCTGGAAAACAAAACACACACCCCCGGAATCGACTCCGACACCCAGACACGTCGCCCACGGTGACAACATACTACACGATAACTACGATCGGCATGTGCACGCACGTGACGTCGCCCCTACCGACGACGCGTTGGACTATGCCATCGCCAACAACCCGAGCCGCCGACACCGTCCTCACGGGCGTGCAGTACGAAACAGCACCAAACAAAACTGCCAACATATGCCGCCTCATGCACGACGTTGCACACCAACCCACAGCGAAATAGTCACCGGTCCATGAACTTCCCAGTTCCAAAAAACGGGGCGACACACACAACGACGCCAACGCAGACAACCACCCCATCAAGGAAAAGATGCCTCTCGCGTCGTCCGCTCTTATTTCTCGTTTGCTCCCCACGTCGTGTGCTCCAATTTCTCGCCACAGCCTCGTCATCGCAGCCGCCCGCTCCCCACGCCTGGTCGTGTTCACTGCGCGCCCATTCGCTCTGCCAGTGCGTCCCGCAGAATGAACACATCCCCCGTTGAGTCGGCGTTGACGACTCCATACACATCGGCCTCAAGGGCCGCTGCATCCCAAGGGCCACCCTGCGGTGCACAACGTCCGGCCCGACCTCCCACAGTAGATTGTCGTCGAAGAGGATCCCCTCGTCGATGAGTAAGCTATGCAGAATGCAGACGACAACGAACTGCTGCGGCAACGTCTCCATGTTCGTCTTGTGGGAGCAAAGGAACAACCTCCACATCCCTTTCAGTCTGCCGAAAGCCCTCTCAACTACTCCCCTTGTCGTCTTCTGCTTGTTGTCGAAGCGCAACTCCGATGGGTGCTGTGAGAGACCACCATAGGGGACGACTACCCATTCGGAGGGGGGATAACCATTGTCGACCAGCAGATACCCGTTCGTCTGCACACCGAAAGGCAGCAGGACAGGTGACCCACCGAAAAGCTCCCCTGCCTCCGCGCGCACCCACAAACTCGACAGGTGGACGATCCTCACATCGTGGCAACTTCCTGGATATCCGACGAACACATCCAGCACACACAAGTTCAGATTGATGACGACCTGCGCCTGGACGGAGAATTGGCGTTTTCTATCATAGTAGTCCTCCCCAGGGCAATTCGCTGGCTTGTTGATGAAGATGTGGGTGTAGTCGATGCACCCATGGCAGCGAAAGCGCGCAAGACGACCGCCTTCTGCAGCGCCGTCGACCACGATATCTTGTCGGGGTACGCACTCGGCAACGCCACAGTTACATCCCGCGCAGCGCGCAACCCAGAAGATATGCCAATGCCGAAGCTCCATGTCCCACTCTCGTACGTCTCCCTCGACACCCACCTATACAAAGCGTACGCGACAATGTGGTCAGGCTGGAGAGGCTCCCTATAGGAAGTGACACGCCGTTGAAGGAAAGGAGACAGAGCTTCCACGATCTCTCGGAACACAGGTGGCGACATGCGCAACTTGTCCTTGAAGCAGTCGGTCGCCGCGTCGTCGCCTTGCCGCAGATCCTCCCACGTCCCCCTTGTCCGTCGCTTCATCCACCACTTGGGCATCACTCTGGGAAATGCTCCACACCCCATGATGTAGCACACCTTCAGCACGGCGTCGCAAATGGCACCATTGTCCTCTACGTCCACATTCATGGACTGCAGCGTCCTCTTCCACCGTGCACGAATGACCGCTCTCATCCTCTCCTCGCTCCTCTGCAATTGACAGCGGAAGAGGATGGCGTTCACGGCCCCTACCACCGCCGTCCTCTCCTCCTTGCTCAGTGTGTCACGACCCGCCTCCCCATTCATGTCCATCGCCGAAACTAGTACTGTCGACGTGGGCGTCGCCAAGTACAGAAGACTCCACGTGTGCCGAGGCGCAGAACAGCGATGCTGCGAGTGACGACCGGAGTGCACGACGTGCACTCCGACGATGAAGGTGCGCCTGCGAAGACGACAACGATGGCGATCGTGTGATGACGTGTCTGCTGCTTCGGACGTGTACATGTACGTTCAACGTGCCCGCCGACATGCAGCCGCCATCCTGTACCCAAACGCTTCCGTCGAGGAACGTTGCTGCCGTCAGCCGCAAGGGACGCCCACGCCGCCGTCACTCGCTTGTGGAAATTCGAATTTCGAATTTCGAATCCGGGACTGCGCACGTTTTTCGTGGCCATTTTTTTTTTTCGCCGCCAACTTTCGAATTCGTGACGCCCATCCGAGTTGGACAAACGACGTCGACACGGACACACCTTGCTGGACCAACCTCGCCCCCCCCCCCCTGCGTCCGCTTGTCGATATATGAAACTGGACACGGAAGGCCCCGAGGAATCGTCCTCGGGGAGCATTTCCGAGGATGAGTGGAACGACGACGCGAATTTCCTTGGGCGGCAATGGGAGAATTTCCTCGGGCCCCGAGGAGTGTCGAAGGAGCCCCTATAGCTCTGCCGAACAAAGAGAGTTTGAAGCTCTTTATCCAACCCGACATCCTGGCTGAAACTTTTTCACTCAGTATAGTGTCCTGCACTACGCCAGAGTCTGACAGCGAAACCTGGACTCCCAGGAACCGCTCAGAAGTATATGACGGGACTGGTCTCAGACCCCAGTCCACACAAAATTCGAAGGGGGAAGGTAGAAAATAAACTGACTTGTCCCAATTTATCGAGGCTTCAAACAGCAAGCAATACTCATCCAAAACTTTTTGCAATTCTGTGAGCCTCAGGGGCCCTTGGAGTGTTTTCTACGGCAACCGTGAGGTCATCCGCTATGGCCCCCTTCCGTTGGAGTGAGGGGGTGAGTGAAAGGCCTTTAATCCGTGGATTTGATCTGATATTCTCCAAGAGAGTTTCTAATTGGATTACAAACAACAACGACGCCAAAGGGCAGCCCTGAGGAAGGGACCGGGTTAATTTAAATTCACTTGACAGTTTACCGTTTACAATAACCATAGAGGATGCTTCTGCGTGCATGGCTTTTACCCATCTCCAAAATCCTTGGCCAAAGCCTGTGTCGTAGCGCCTTCCCTGTCTGGGAATACCAGCCGCCTAACCCTGTCATCATCTCTAATCATCTAATGGAAAACTTCTATAGGAAGGTTTGTGCTCCACTGCGGGTTCTTACAAGAACTCCTCTTTCTAATTCAAGTACGGCGGTGGAGCCGTAATAATTTGAGGGCCTCCACCTGCCTGCGCGCTGTTCCTTTCGAACCCGTCAGGACGGGAGATTCCACAGGCCAAATACGGGACCGAAAGTGCAGTCCACTTTGGAACCAGCGGAAGGGGCTGCGTGACATCGGCCAGAAACACTACGCCCCCAATGAGGCCTGGAATTTCACCAGGAACGCGCCGGCCTGAGTAAGTTTTTGAAAAATGATACCGGGCCGGCCCACTCCCAAGTTCAGAACCGCTTTTCCTGCATCTGAACGCGGCCTTTTTTTTTCTTTTTTATTTTATTGGGATAACTGCTCCTGGGTCACACTTCAAGTTCAAAACCGCTGTTACGATCCTGGTCATTTCCCAAGTGCAATTCACAATGAAAGACAATGCCACCAAATTGCGAAAGAAATGAAAGCACTTGCAAAGAGATATGGACCAGAGGAGAGAGAAAGAAGAAGAAGAAGAAGAAGAAGAAGAAGAAGAAGAAGA